TAACCTTATCCTCTTAAGATTAGTACGAGGATTAGAACCTCGAGCTGTTGGTTCTCTTTTTAATGAATATGGTAAGAAGTACTTATGATAAGGTATCATACAACATAATCTAGTATTACTACTTGGATTAGTATAATAAGCTGATTCTCTTGGTGACCATGTTATATTACCTCTTACTATCATATATACATCATCACCATTAATACTACTACCATTAGGTACCCATATATCTATTACTCCATTATCCAATGTTGATGATGATGTTCCCTTTACCACTCCTTGACATAATAACCATCCTTCACAATCTAACAGTCCTACCATCATTCCTTCACATATTCTTATGTCATCGATCATCTGGGCGCGCGCTATTACATATATGGAATTGAGAGTACTGGTGCGGGGAATATGTATAAGTTTACTGTGTTGTTGTTGGAAGCATTGTTGTGGTAACATAGTATGCCAAAGTTTAGTATTGCCACACATATCAGGTCGGAAATAGCATGCATACCGTAACCATCTCAAGTCTGCTGGTTTGGGACTAGTAGTAGTAATAACAGTGCTATCATCATGATGATGATGATGATCCGTTGATGATGCTGTTACTGGAGATATTATTACATCCTTTCCTGGTGGTAATAATAGCGGAGAGCTTGTTGTTGATGATGATGGTAGTAGTTGTGTTGACGGCGGCGGCGGCATAATAGGGTTATTACCACTGCATAGATCGTACCAATAGTGCTCTAATGGTGGGTTACCGATTATAATAACCATATCAGGTTTCATGTAATACCGTAAATAGGCCAACATATGCCCTCCTAAACCACCATACCTAATAAGGGAATACTCTATGATAGTAATGGTAGTATAGCAGTTATTATTATTATTACCATCCTGGTGTGTTAACTATTATAGGTGTGTTATCATCTTTATTATCCCTCTTATTCAATGCTTCATCAATAAGTCGACAACATTTGAGGATATAATCTCTAGGATGTAGCGATGGAGTGGTACCACCAGTAAATAACTCATTGTGATGATGATTATTATTATTAGTAGGGTTTTGTGATATTATCACACTACTAGGACCAGGATATAGACATACCTAAGATTTAGAAGAGTTGAGGCAGTAGTATGACTATATCTTACTACTTCTTACCTTATCCAATTTATTAATACTAATAGTACCTGGTAATGCAGTATCAGGTTGGCCACAATCCAAGTCCAATACTCTAATAATACTATCAGAATGACCACTACTAGTACTAGATATATAACGATTAGTAGTTGCCTTATAAAGGATGATTTACCAACACCTTTATTACCAATAACCATAACATTAAATGATGCCCCTTTACTCTTCTTCTTCTTATTATTATCAAGAGCACCTCTTATTATACCATCCATAGCATGTTCCCATTGTAATGGTATAATAAATGTATTTAGATGGTGTTCCTTTTCCTCCTCATTAGCATGTGGTAATATAATATTACTATCATTAGTAATAGATAATGCTATAACCACTGGGTAAGCCGGTTCGAATGATGACTCTATATAACAGCTAGTAGTAGTAGTAGAAGAAGTAGCAGCCTTGATAGTTATTAATGATGATGTTGGTGCTGCTGGCCCTATAGTATATATATTACTACTAGGATATAGTATAGCTCCTAGTACATGAATACATCCTCCTCTTAATATTCTCATATTAATACTTATATTAGGATTGGATATTATTACCCTTTGTTCGGGCATGAGAGGTAATATACTCCATCCTGGGGTAGTAGATGGTAATAGTCGAGTAGTAGTAGTAGGACGAGGACGAGGAGGAGAAGGAGGAGGCATAGATAATAATGAGTCTGATTAAAGAGAGGAATAGGGGTAGTAGTAGTAAGAATAATAATGATAACACAAAGAGTATAAGGAGGTAGATACTATATCTGCATATTATTGCATCATAATAGCAGCATCAGCATCAGTATCAGCATGAGTATCATCAGTAGTAGCATCAGTAGTAGTATTGGTAAATAAAATGATGCTTATGTTGTTGTTGATGGAGGTTACTAATGATAATACTAATATGTTCACGATGTTACAGGAGCAGTACTTAATAATACATAATAATAATCTTACTATTACTACGATAATGGTGATAATTATGATTATAATCTATATATGGGGGGGGCTAATGATTAACCTAATGACCAACAATGATGATATTAAGAATAGCTATTAGTATTACCTCATCATTATTATTGATATGATCTTCCTCATTGAGTAACATATTAAATGAATCAGAATTAGCTCTTAGGAATTGTAACTGTAGTTGTGATAGACTGCTATTACTACCAGATCTCAATAGTATCGATCTCCATACCTATACAATAACAACAACACAGCAGTACTACTATTATTATCATGCTTCCCTCTCTACCAACAACAACAACACAGCAGTACTACTATTATTATCATGCTTCCCTCTCCTCTACCAAGAAGAACATTGTTAATACCTTTCCTAATATCCTCGTTCTTGTGTTAGTTACCAATGATTGGCCATCCTCAGTATCAGAATAATAGTTATATATAAGGGACATGAAGTTTTGTTGAGCCCTATAATGTTTAATATTAATATCTACAACAGTAGTAGTACTAGTACTATTGCTTACTTTACTTCTGCACTATATGCCATTATACTTAACTTAAACTTTTCAGTTTTACCACCAACAGGCACCAATCCACCCATAGTAATCTATAATACGTACTATTATAATAATAACTATTATTATACACATTATTATTACCTTTGTATTAGCATCACCAGCATCGTCGTTTTCAAAGAGTACTACATTGAATATCTTAACTTCAACAATAGATGATTTATGAGTATGAGTATACCCAGGTACATATCCAGAGACTGAGTATTCCACAACCATAACCTGATGATATATAACTACTAGTAATAATAATAATAATACTCGGCATAATCCGTTTTAGTAGTAGTCCTGATCATTACCTTTGTAGCGGATATCTCTTTCATAATACTCATTATCACTGATTCACGTTTTCTCATAATAATACCGTGTCCTTTAAGTCGTTGAACATATACTTTAATAACAGCTAGACTACTACTACTATTAGTACTAGTAGTGTTAATGCTGTTGTTTTTATAGATAACATTATCATTGGTTATATCCTTCATAGAGTGGATATAAGTATTATGTGTTGTACGAAAGTTGGCATCTTGCCATATAGTAGCCATTGTTAATGGATCAATACCCTGATAATAGTAGTAGTAATGATGATAGTATTATTATTATTACCAATACTCTAGATGTTATCCTATATGGGTCTATGACTTCCCCTTCTACCTTCCTTCTCCAGGTCATTAACTTGAAAGGTGATGATGATGATGTATTATTATTCTTATTATGACGTTTAAAAGGATTGTGTATGATGAGGGATGATGTATTACGGGTAATGATACTACTTGCTAAGGACCACTCCTCATTATTTAGAAATGCTAATGCTACACTACATGCCTAAATACACATATAGTCCATAGTATTATTATTACTATTATTACCTGTGATATACCATCACTAGTAATAGCTTTTATAAATGTATTAGGCATAGCTGATAATGGATGTGATGATGATGATAGTAATGGTGGTGGTGATGGTGATAATGGGAATATTGGTACTCTAGCCCTTAGTCCAGGGAAGTTAGTTATCATACTTCTATATGCAGGAGATGCTCTAACCAATACACCAGTAAGTAATGGTGTAATATGGCTAGTATTAATAACATATTGCCATATCTTAAACTCTAGATCCTTTATAACC